ACAGAGAGCCTGTGACTGGTAATTCGCGAAACGCACAAACCCGTAGCCTCGACTCTGTTGTGTTCCCGGATCACGTTTTATCTGTAGAAGAAGATTAGATATTGATGGCCTTAATGATGGAAGAAAAAAGATTGAAGTGCGGAAAGCCGAAGTACAGGCAAAAGCAAGTCACATGTTTGATTATATTGCAACCGCATCCGATGACGAAATTCTTACCGCAGTAATGAAGTTCTACTGATACGCGAAGTGAACATGACAGAAACGTGCACCTATTGACGGCGTCTGTCTGAAAGCATAGATGACAGGCAAGTGGGTATTAGACCTCATTCCCTTAAGCATTGGTAGTGCTACCATCTATTCGTCTCACAATAACCCGTTCATTTCACAAATCGTTCGTATTACACGCCACCTTACTCTGTCATGGGTTAATATAATGGGTAGCCAAAAACAAGGATAAAGAGCAACGATGTTTAAAAAGTGAAAAGGGAGATTGGTACGGGTAGAAAAAGTTATCAAGTAATCAAAATCGTACTGAGTAGCGAGCCACATGTCGGAGTCCACTTCCAGGAGACGTTCCGTGTCAGTTAACCCTGATTATTTTAAAATGATATTCAAAATTCCAGTCAATTTCTCCATGTGTCTTTCGAGGTCAGTCTTGACCACTGCTAGGGGAGAGTATTTTGTGGTAAAATCACGTCAGAACCTCTACTAACAATAACCAACTCTATGCAGAACTGCCGCTGAAGAGCCCAGTGAACGCGGGGACTGCCATGGAACAAATTTTTTTCTGATAACACAGCCGATTCAGTATATTTACGCTGCAGTGGGCTAAACAGATGCCAGTGGTACCTTTGGCGAACCTCAAAAGGTGCACTTGCCAACACTAGACGAAAGCCAAAAAACCAACCTGGGTCATAACAACTTCACCGAAGGTGGAAAAATATTTACGCAGAGCGTCCTCGTCTGTTCGCCATGGCAGATTTAGAACGATGAGGTCTGTGCACTGTCGCCCATCCGTGCGCATTGTCTTCGCGGTTGCATCAGATCCATTTTCGGAAAACTTCCGCTTAGAATCTACAATTAGGAGCAATAGTAAGTACCATGATTAAGGGAGTCGAGTTAAAGCGAAAAATACTTACTAAGCAGATGGACCTAACTTCACAACATTGGTGCTTGGTTGTGGAATGTATAAAAGCGTGTAATTAACTTCATTTAGAGAGAAGCTATTTAAGCGTCGATAGGAGTGATTGGAGGTTTTCGACAAGAATTCAGAAAGTGCATCCTATCTCTGACCGGCTAGATAACCTACTTGCACATAACCGTACCATATTATCAGCGTAGGACGCACCTAGCATTACCTTTAGGGACAACGCAGTGATAAATTCTGGTTCCCCAGCCGTCGGGAGGAGGGAATAGACAGCCGTCACTGAGGCGGATACCCCGCGTAGAGCCACTCTCTTCGGCTTCGTACTGCAGTCCTGTGCACTTTGGAAACTGGGCTTGTACAGTCGAAAGCAGAATCGTGCAATTGCTTTCGGTTGGAAGCTCGATTGGCGGTTGATCTTCATCTGCAACCAGAACATACTGAGCTTTCTCAGCCCCCATTGGGCATTCTACGTCCATACCGTAAAACTGTACCGTTTATCCTTCAATACTGCTAAGAGGCGGTGTGCAGTCGTTCAAACTACAAAAAATGAGAATTTGATTAGCTTTTATTAAGATACTGAAAATGACCATTCAAGCTAACGGCTGAGCAAATAAACCGAGTAAACGTAACTTTCGAATAACTCTTAAATGAGAAGCGCAAAGAACGCAACAGACACCCTAGAAAGAGGCTTTCTACTACGAACTTCAGATTGTAATAAACCGTGTACCGAGGAGTGGTTTCGTCGCTGTTGGTAGGCAGAATGGTAGAATTAGAATGCGATATATTACAAAAACTTCAATTGTTGCCACACTTACTGTCTTCCAATTTAGCTGAGCCAATTGAGCGCTGTACTAACGCGAAATGCGCAATATTTACTTTGAGCATGCTACTGTGAGGAGTATGCTACGAAGGGGAGGCATGGCCTAAGTTACTACAATGCTTCAAGTTTCAGGGAAATTGCTCCTGCCACTAGCTCCCGTACTTTGCGTGCGTACGTAGACGGTCAACTTAAAGATATTTCAATCAAACCCCTTAGTTTGAATTGAAGCTAACTTCTCGAATTACTAGGCATGAACTGCTTGAAGACAGCGACGGTTGTCGTAAGTTCGTATCACTCGTGCAACGAATTGACTCGTTGATAGTGAGAATGTGGTTCGCGATCGTGTGGACCCAAATTTCGAAGAACTGTGAGGGGCTATGAATAATCTTATCATTGGCTGCCTATAGAGTCCAAATGTTAGGCTAGAGTAAGGACCGTCGTTTCGGAAATTAAATTTCTGAGCACTGGCGACTGATGCCACTTAAATCATCAAAACGCTGACTCAAAAAAGATCCTTTTGGAGAAATTACGGTCTATTTCTAGAACCAAGACCTTAACGTCAGCAAAAAGGAATTTATAGATCTTTCTTGTGAATGAAACATATCGTTTTGGAATGCAACCCGAATAAGCAATCAAGGGCACGCTTATTTTGTAGACTACCTACGATTTAACTGCAGGCACGACATCTGGTCAGGCCTGTGACTCTGATTTTTCCATTTAAAACGGGTAAATAACGTTGTGAAATTCTTTCGGATCTTTCGCTTACCGTTTCGGCAGCCTCATAACCACAGAGTTGGAAGGCGGTCTAACTCTGAGGAAATTGAGCAACTTAAGGTCCAATAGATCATGTAGCAAACTACATACTTATCACCAATACTAACGCGGCCTATCGAATGATACTCAGTGGCAATCCCTTCGGAAAAAACGGCATGCAGTCAGAACAAGGCCTTGACGACTGAATCTAACATCAAATGCCTTTCAAGTGAATGAAGCTTAGATTATGAAATCAAAAATGGGACAAGGAGTATACCTGCAGCATTTTGCCAGGATCGATGCGGAAAAATAGACGTATCAAGTTGGCTGATGTAAATATTGATCGCTCATTTTTAAATTTTAATATGAGAGCAGATGCGGTTGCGAATCCCGAATGTGTATGTGAAAGACTTGAGCGAATTAAACATGGAAGCAGTGGCCGCCATGTTATTTTTCCACATTTATCATCGCTCTTACAGATTAATGCTTCAGGAATTTATGTGTGTAAATGGTAAACATTCACAGATGGTGACGGTTAGTTAGAGCAACTATGGACCCTTAGTAACAGGCTGCTTGTGGGTTCTTTGTGGTCTTTGAAACGGTCAAACCTACTATAGAGCAATGGTTGTTGACTCCTACAATAGAAAGTCGAACTAAAATTGGACGGATAAAGCGACTATTGCCTAATAATAACTAGTAACTTAGCTAGTCTATTTAAAGGAGACTTAGTCTTGAATGAGATAGTTCGCACTTGATGCGTAAACGTCACGTAGGCCAACCATGACCCACGACTTCAGTGGGGTATACACATTCCTTGTAGCCCGTCCACCAAACTGAAGGTGTCTAGGCTACCTCAAGACCTCATTGCAAACGCCACTAAGACATGCAGGTTATTGACGAGCACTTTCTGTAAGGTTTCCCTCCCTCAATTGGACAATGCGTCCACACCCCATTTCCGCTGTCAAACGCCTCCATGAGTACGGAAGTAAAGACGGTGACTGAATGCTACCAACTAAATCGAGTAAGACTCGACCGCAATAAGTGAGCACAACTGTCTATTGAAAACTGTAAAAGCGACGTAAAAATAGCTAAAAAACCAAATTGAAGATGGTACTTGTTCATTATGTGGACGCAGTCGTGTGCTGACGTCAAAATTATGCAAAGATAACATGGTTTGTAACTAAGGGGGGGTCTGTGGAGGTTCAGAGCAACAAAGCCGAAAGTAAACGTCCATACCTGTTCGCGATCTACTCATTCGCTAAAAGGTGTGCATTTGGATGTTCGGAACCCACGCGCTAGCTACATCTTTCAAAGGTTTATGAATTGATTTGAAACTGTAACATTACAACGCACAAGACCAACCACGACTGTGTCGCAAATATAGGGACATATCAGGACTTTTAAATAATTCAGTTCCTGTGCACATGTGGCACGTGCAACAGGGCTCCGGAGAATATGGCCAAACGTTTGGGGGGTTCGTGTGCAGGGGTTTGATCAAGTAGAGGGACAAGGCTATAAGCGAGCACTCATGATGTAACTACGCAAAGGTTTTTAAAATGTGTGTAATTGTTGCATTCCGTGCAACATATATGTTACACGGCAGCCCATAAGTTTTGTTTTAACGGTAATAGGACAGCTGGACCGGTTAATCCGCTGTATCTGTATCGAAATCGCTTATAATTATTTTTATTATTAGTATGGGTATTCGGTGGATACTCGCAAAGCTGCGCACGAAACGGCTTCCATACGCACAAATTAGCCAGCAACAGTCAGCACATGGTTGAATACCATATGACTGTTCAATAATTGCACTATATGACAACAACCAGAGCGATAGACGCTAAAAATTTACTAAATTCAAACAAAATACTCAGTCTAACGATGAGGAGTGCAACACTTTGACGGCAAAACATGGTATACTAAATCACGCCAACCCAAGGAACAACCTCGCAGGACCAAGCGTCGATCAAAGCAGCCTATAAACTGCCCAGAGATATCCTTTGACGATGCTAAACAAATCAAGGGATATAAAGAAATAAATAGAAAACGAATGTATTTCATAATTAAACTAGAAAAGTGTGATAAAGTAAGCAGTTTCAACAGTAAATCATGTACCATATGTCATATTGAGCGTTATGGAGTCAAACAGAGTATATATTATGTTGTGTCGCAAATGACCGTAACTGTATTGAACAAATGCGCCGTTAAATATAGCGTTAAATAGCACAAAGCGGAATAAGGAGGACCCTCAACATTGGGTTCAGGTAATGTGTAGCCCCTGAAAAGAACCAAGCTTTTTAAAAAATCTAACAGGTGTCAGAGATATGCAGTAGAGTGAAAATTCCCCTGCAACGAACGACCGTTAATAGATAATAAATCTTCCCGTTCATTAATTTGAAGTCACAGTGTAGTTTGCTCCGTCTGAAGTGTTGAGTCAGTTTCGGCTCTCGTCGATTTGCCGAGGATTGGGATAACTTCCTCGGTGGATTTAACATTCGCACTAAATTAACGATCAGTAAATAATACATCTCGTACTGGCAAACTGAAGTTGTCGAAACTCTGCCTCCATGGCCCTTGCGCTCCCACGTGAGTGGAGACAAATGTAGATTATAAAGTATTTACCACTCACTTCCGCATATCCGAATATCAAGATATAAACTCTGTAAACAAGGTAGGGCAGTGTAGGGCAGCGTAGTGCGAAAGCCGGTAGAACTAATCATCGTCGGTGAAATAGAGCTTAATTACCGTAAATATTTCAACGGTTAATTTGAAAAGTCAATTTCTGGCAAACATATGTTTTCAGCAACTCATCACCAGACCAAAGTTTGCAGGGAAAATTAAAGCTGTACAGTACAATTAAAGATTTATATATATATGTATATGTATATTTAAGGGTTACAGGCAAGAAATGCCCTTGATGACCCTAGTTAATTTAAAGCAACAAGGTTATTCTTACAGTTAATGTGCAGTCGGGGGGAGCACATATGATATTATGTAGAAAAATCAAGAAGTGTCTAACATGGGCGCCGATTGGCCACTGCCACATCAGCGTATTGGTTTAGAGACTGCCGCTTGTTGATAGGGGCGAAATGCTATCGCCACCTGGCGTCGGTGTAAGCAATGGAAGTGAAAGGGGTTGTGTCAGCGTCTTCTGGCAACACAGCACTGGAGTCGCTAGCTGTATAGCTACCGCTTCCGCTGCTGCGAGCATCCGTCGGCGTTTCGCCTGATGATGAGTTGCTGAAAAAGAGTTAATTTGTTTATGCTTCTCCATATGGGGCCTTTAAATACAACGCCTTACAACTTTAAATATATTGATCTCTATAGCTGCATGCGCGAGCAGCTTAATAAATAAAAAACGAAAATAAAAATCAGTGGCGAGATAGATACAAAATTAGTTTTTTTTTAAATCACCCTCGTCCACTACTTCGCATGATACTGAAACTGTGAACATCTTGGAACAAGAAGAGTGATAACAGCCCTGGCCACAATGACCCTATCCGTCATTTACTGGGGAATCTGATACCTCAAATGTCCAGCTTCGGTCAGGACGAAACAGTATTTCTTAACTCGTCTTGTTTTGCTGAAATAAATGCGTGCCCAATAGAGCAGCAGGTTTTGGGCTGAACAAAAATAGACATGTCTTAACCACATAATGATAGTAATAATCGCCACCATTATCAACGTCATTATCACACTCTTAGAGACTCGCTGGTCGCTCCTAAACGTCCCAAGGGATTTCACTTTCAGGTCGCGGAGCAACCGCGAGCAGACAAACCAATAGATTGCGCATAAGTCAAAGAGTAAAAACATTCTTTCTTTCTAAAACCTCATCTTCAGAGTAAACTTACATCCCACGGTGTGTCTAGCGAGTCCCCAAGACGTATATTAAATTCTCCAATCCTTGTCAGTGGATGGAACACCCAGAAGGTGAACTGAAGTGCTCGGCCGAATACCTTTATGATCTGTTTGTCCTTCCAAACTTGTTTTAGATAACGATTAATTTCTTAAATTCGTTCTGATGTCCTTACAAAGAATTATGAAATATTCCATTTATTTTTACCTAACTTACTTTTTCCCCCAATATAGCATTCTAAAACAAACTGGAAATTGAGGTAACCACGCTGTGCATGGCAAACTTTACAGAAAAGCCCATAACTAACCGAGTTGCCTATTAAACCTAATAACCAAATGCATTGGGGTGCAACTCCTCGGTTATTTCTGACATGTTATGAGGTCAACTGGTGACTTTAAATGAAACAGAATTAATCACTGTGGTCTCCTTTGTCCTTGCCAGCAAAAAGTCAAGATTTTTTTAATTTTCGGAATGAAACTTGAACATGTAGCCCCGTAACATCACTTCCTTCTCCCTGATCGCGATGGTAGTCTTGGTCGCCTGTTGGAAACAGTTAATCAGAGGTTTCGCAAACTGCATGCAACGCGTGCACTAGTTCACCTCCGCCGATCTGGTCAATTACATTCAGGGTTGACTCACAAAGACCACAATACCGTGACTACCAACGCTCGCACACTTCGGACATCGTCCCTCTAATGAGTGTTAGTACACTTGTCCGACCGTTGACTTCCTCCTACCTATTCTCAGTTACTTCTGTACAGAATAAGCTATTCCTACAACTCGTCATCTCGCTTATTCGCTTCTTCTATGGAACCGGACCTGAAGATCGCAATAGTTAGGGTTCTGCTCATAAATCAAGAATTAAACCTTTATTTACGAAATCTGTCAGATATTTCGACTGCGAACCTTTGCGATTGGGCAGCTCTACCCTTTATTCCTTTACTGGAGCCAGTGAACACTGCCTATTTGCCTTTCGGAAGTATTGGGGAGTAAATACTGGATAAGGCTGGATTACTACAACACCGAATCTTGTTGAGTTGACATCTACCTCGTTTCGATTGGTAAATAGATAGGACCTGAGGTCTTCAGTATGAAAAGTTACACGCCTTATTCATTTCTTCGCGTAGTTCGTAATAATATATGTGGCCAGTGGTCGACTTCATACGCTGTTAACTACAATTTAAAGAAACGTTTTAGTTTAGGAAGGATACGATAGGAAAAAGCAGGTCACCCAAATAGTCATGTTTTATCAAACTAAGCTTTTTTCAGGACGCCGAAAGGACTACCGTTCAAAAGTCGGCATCCTTGTATGCTCGAAGTATCTCGAGATTATTCGCCAAGGCAAAAAAATTATAATCCCACTTAATTAATAATTCCTCATCTAAAATACAGGGTGTCCCAGAAGTAACTGAT